AGGTTCAGTCAGTTATTGATTCTTTAAACTCAGTTTTGTTGGAAACTCATTCGTCAACGGAAGAACGATGGGGTGAACAGAGAATGACTTCGTATGGCAAAATATTCATAAAGAAAACTTTTGAAAAACTTATCAACGAGCTCAAAGCCCAGAAGAAACTTCCTGCCTTGGTATTTAGGTAAATGGGAATCATTAAGAGTCAACTTTAATGAACTACACTAGATCTTACTTAACCCTTTAACACCCATGAGTGACCGAGAGAGAATTTCTCCTTACAATATCAACTGAATACAATATCAAGAATACAAGTGATGGGATTAAAGGGGGACTCTTAGTTAATCAAGGAACTCTTAGTTGATCCAATACCAGATTCTCTGAACTAACATTATAAGAATTGTATGGCAGCTAATAAGGAGAATTACTCATGAGATCTTGGGAGTGAAAGGGTTAATCGGTAAGCATAGGTAAGCACAATTTAACGTTACACACTAATGTGCGGTGTGAAAGACACAACTTTACAGGAAATGTATTAAACTGATAGGTTGTTCACGAGGCCATTTCAAAACTCATTCATAAATATTTAACAAGATATATTATCATTTTCTTTTAATTTGGAATACCCCTTCTCTTTGTTCAAAAAGGAGGAAAGCTTCCGGTAGATTCGTTAGTCTATCAGGATTACGCATAGGGAACGTATTAAACGAATGACGAAAGCCTGAATTTTCCAGCAATTATTTCAACAAGTCCATCAAGGTTGATGAAATTGCAGTCGAATCGGTCTGTCAACATCGTAAGGAAAGGTTATGATTATTCATCGTGGCAAAGTACATTGATCATGACATATTGATATCTGCCCCACGATGTATCGTGACTTTATGTTACATTAAACTGTTGGTCTTTGTGAGGCCTACAGGTCGATTGAATGAGCGTCAGCTTTTGAAACATTGTGTATCGCTGTGATTATTTTGCTTTCAACCGCTACCTTGCAGGCTCACCTGTTGTTGTGTTTCTTTTGTTTCTGTTTTTGCGGGGCTTCCATCTATCTTAGTTATCATCTCATTAATCCATTAAATCCTAAGAGTGACCAGCATCTAATTTCTCCCTTCAGTATCACTCCTGAATCACACATTAACGTTATAAAAGTAAAGGAAATAATTACTAGGAAAGGAACCTTTCAATAGGCAGGCAAATTCTCCTTGTCAGCACCTTAGGAAATGTGTAAAATGTGTATCCTTTCACTTTGATGCCCTTACAGTAAGTAAAAGAAGAAAAAAATACGAAGTCCATGATAAGATGTGTGTAATTATTCGTCATAGCGATGATCGTAAACTCTGCGAAGTTTTGGCCCTCGGTTATGCTCAGAAACTAGAAAACAAGGAACTAGTTATGCGAAGAGAGGCCGACACACGAGAAGCAAGACTTGCACAGAAGAGACAAGAAAAAGCTGAAAAAAAGTTACAGAGAAAAAGAGATGAATCACAGAAAGAAAAAGAGAAAAAGTAGTCAGTTCAGAGATTTGATCTGCCTTGGTCGACTTATGATCATGAAACTATAGTTATGTAGAACCTTTGTGACTTGCCTTTTTCCTTTTAGTACATTTACTTCTCAATCTTTTATTTGAACGGTTTTCCGAAGTATTTTTCTTAGTTCTAGGGGTTCTTCTGTAGCAGAGTTCGAGTTGTTGTATACTAATTTCCCATTAAACCGAACGTGAGGGTCGTACGGAGGAATATGACCTGACGTTATGCGCTCGGTCCGTACAAAAACGACCGAGGGCCTTGTTGTTGTAGCTGTTTCTTTTTGCTTGTTTCCTGTTCCTTTTACAAGGTATAACTGCTCTCCAAACAGATTAAACAGCCAACCGGATGAGCAAGATGAGAGGGGTTCTATTTCAGCCGTGAATGAAATTCTACCAGAGTGCTCATTGGCATTTACATTTGGGATTGGAAAAGAGGTAAGAAGCAAAGAAATGTTGTTTCGATAAAAAAAAACCGTTGTCTTGCAAATTTTTTTTTTTCAACCTGAAAATCGGTTTTTGAGTTTACTTCTTCTAATTGCAACCTAAAATGCTGGTTTTTCGCAACAATGGAACAACTCCATCTTATGATTTTGAAATGTTGGCGGTAGCCAAACAAAGACGTCCTCTTGCAGGAGCTAAATGCCTTTGAACGCATTTGAAAAAAGTAAGTATTTCCGACGCACTTATCAAAAGAGGCATTATGAAGACAGTCAGACAAAATGCAAATTGATTGATATCATTCATTTGTAGGATTACGAAGAGATAATCAAAAGAATCTGGTTCATCTCTGACAAATCGTTATTCAAGCGGGCTCTAAAACGAGGAATCAGCTATCATCATAGCGGATGTAATGCCAAAAAGCGCTCGGTGGTAGAAATGTTGTTCAGAGGCAAATACCTTCAGGTAAGATGCCATTAACTGTATGTAAACTGTTAAAAAGTCACATATTTAGGTGGACTCGCGAAAGCACTTTGATTTTGAACATTTTGACGTAAAGTTTGCCGGATTCCAAAGGAAGATTTACACCTTACGGCTGGGGGTAAACAATGATCCCTATTAAAAAAGGGGGTTTCCCTCGTATCCGCTCATGGTATCATACTGAGAATTTGATTAGGCTTTTTTGTAGGAAATATATCTTCAGGCAAACATTTAAGAACCGACCATGCGATTGGGCACACATTTTGAAATCTAGTACATCGCATTACAATATTTATTTACTCTGTCAGGTGGTTAATTCAACTTCAACGTTGGCTCTTGGTATTCACATGCCTTGTAAGACAGTCGTGTTTGCTGGAGACTCGCCCTACTTAAATTCACTGCAGTACCGGCAGGTAAATAAGTGGGATATATCTAACTTAACTCATGGTCAGTTCTCCCTGATCGACATTTCTCTTAGTTAAGAGTTTCCGTGATTGCTGACGATTTTGTAAATTGTTCTTTCGATGTAACTCTTTCAATCCCTAGTTAGCATAATTCGGGAGTTTCGATGAAATTCGATTACCGGCGGTCTATCGCCGCCCATAAAATCTCTCACCGCCGTCTGTTGAGTCCGCGAGTAGGCTCTCGTGTTCAATACAGCCGCCTATTATGCCATAAGAACCTTTTATGGAAAACGTTTCGGAAACCCCTACATAACAAGGTCCCCTTTACGCATGCGGTGCATAGGCTTCATAGCGTCTAATACACATGAATGCATCGAATACTTAAAGGATGACTTTTTTACATCTTACACGTATCGCTGAACAACATTTTCCGTTATGGCTTTAATACTTTTGCCAATACCACGAGTGCCAACCTAGGACTTTATTTGTTATTTTCAGATGTCTGGTAGGGCGGGTCGGAGAGGTTTCGATCCCGTGGGAAATGTCATTTTCTTCGGAATTCCTTACCGTAAAGTGCAACGCCTGATGACTGCAAATATCCCGAAGCTTGTCGGCAACTTCCCCATCACTGTTTCATTGGTTCTGCGATTGCTTTTGATGACGACCCAGGCAGATGACAAGGAAGATGCCCTCACTAAGGTTTCGAAGGACTATTTTGAATGAGTTTTTTTTTACTGTTTCCTCTTTTTCAATAGACAACATAAGATAAGATATGATAAGATACCTTCAGGAAGTAAGTGTGCCTTTTGTACTCGGCTCACGCCTGGTTAGAAAGGCTATTCTTGCTGATATTGCAAAATAATGTTATACATTCGCTCTTACAAAGGGCTAACGCTCGAAACGTCAGCTTCTAAACTCTTTACGGTAGCCAATTTACATTATCAACTCAGTTGATAATACTAAATTACCCGGTTATGTTAAAAAAAAATTTCTGCCATGTCACTGTTCTGCGCAGGAGATACTCCCAACCTAATTGAATACATATACTTCATAATCAAATTAAGACAAGAGAATTCGCAATTACGACTTTTACATGTGTTTACAATGTGTTTACAATGTTAAGAGTTAATTTCCATGCTCAAAATTCGTTCAAGCTACTCAGGCTCAAAATAATTAGGTGTACTCGCACATCTCTTTTTCAGGCCCTAGTATTGCTGTCTAATCCTTTTATTTGCCGAAAGTACCCGTTAATGGAAACCCAGATCAAGCTACATTTCCTCTTCAGCGTTGAACTTTTAACTAGACTGGTGAGTAGTATGGACAAAGCCTTTCTGTATACTTGGTGAGGTGTGATCTCTCACAGGAGTAGAGAGAGGACTGCCTAGGGTTTAGTAAGCTTAGCACACCATAATTTGATCACGTTAAGTGACAAATCAATATCTTGTAAATGGAACTTCAGTCTGTCTGTAATTCCTCGTTCTTTCCAGTCTCTTATAAACAAAGAAACCGGAGCTCCACAGGAAATGGCCGGACTGGCAACCCATCTTCACTACCATGAACCCTCCAATTATGCCCTGGTCAGTTTTCTACGATGTGGTCTCTTCCACAAGCTGTGTAAGCCAAGGAAAAACGGTAAACCCGTAGCTCCTTTCAAACTGAACGATTTATTAGACCAGTAACTAACTCAGAGCTTTTTGTAAGGATCACACTTTTCAGACGCTAGGGGAAAACGATTCCTTTGAAATAAATTTTATGTAAAATCATAAAAAGGGAAAAATATCTCTAACTTGAGAAATCAAGAGGTTTTTTTTTTACCCCGGAACAATAACATTCCTCGATCAGTGGTCGTGCCTGGAATCCAAATTTTAGTCTTTGTTCTCCCTTACTGCTTACCTTGTAGTTCTTCTCTGAA